TCGATCGCGCTCGCGATGGCGGGGTCCACCGACCCCGCCGCGGGCGCCGCCATGTCGAAGCCGGGGGCCGCCGCCGCCTCTGCCGTGTACGGAATGTCGGTGGGCCGCGACTGCGACCAGCTCAGCTGGTCGTCGCGCACGGGCGAGCGCGAGCGGTCGCGTCCCGCCGGCTTCTCGTCGCGCCGCGTGTCCTCGCTCTCAGCCATCAGCGCTGGTTGCACAGCTTGCCCCTGGATTGCCTGGAGCCAGCGCGTCGCTTCGCCGTTTTTCTTTTTTTACAAGGTTTTCTTTCCTCTTCCAACCTTCACTCTCCGGGCTAGTTCGACTTGTTCGCGCCATTATCGCTCCGCGCCTACTCCATCCAACAACCACAATGCCAAAGTTCAGGCTCCTGACCGCCGCCGCGCTCCTCCTCTTCGTGGCCAACTTTGTCTTCCACGGCCGCTCGGCACCTCGCCAGGTCGACGCGCCCGGCGGGGCGGCCGGCCGCTCTCTCGTGGCGGACGGCGAGCCGGACGTGGCCGCCTTTGCGGAGCGGGTGCGCCTGGCGCTGCGCCGCTTCCAAGAGCGGCGCCAGCGGCAGCTGGCCTTCGCGCGCTGCAACCACACCTACGGCAGCCGGACGGACGGTTTCCTCCCCGGCTGTCCCGCCGCCGGCTGCGTCGCCTGGCCGAGCCTCGAGGCTGCAAAGGCAGTGTGCTCTCAATGGTCCGACTGCGGTGGAGTCACCGCGTCGCGCGAGGGCGGGTGGTTTGAGCCTCGCGCCCGGCGCGTGCCGCTCCCTTCGCCCGCCGGCGAGGTTTCCTGGGTGCGCACGACCAACGACGAGCAGTGCTACGGCGGCCTGCGAGGGCCGTGGACGCAGCCGCCCTCGCAGCCAAACGAGGCCGCGCTCGCAGTCTCTCGCGCGTACACGGCCGTGGTCGACGCCGCGCTCGCGGAGACGCCGGCGCTGACTCGCCCGCGCAGGCCGCCCAGGGAGGACGGGACGATCTTTGTCTCGATCGGCGCGCACCGGGACCCGCTCTGCGGCGCGACTGTGCGGCGCGCGTTTGCTCGTGCGGCTCGGCCGGAGCGCCTGAGCTTTGGCATCGTGCAGCACAACTGCGAGCGGGCCTGCCTCAACGTCACCGGCGGCTTCGGCGCGACGCGCCGCTACCCGCCGCAGCTCGGCGCCGACGAGGACTGCGTGTCTGCCTTTTGCGCGTCGCCCGAGGGCGAGCCGCACTGCGCGAGCGGGCGGGTGCGCATCCTGCGGCTGGGGGAGGAGGAGGCGCTCGGGCCGATCTACTCGCGCTTCCTCGCCTCGCACCTCTGGCGGGGCGAGACCTTCTTCCTCCAGATCGACGGGCACACCGACTTTCGGGCGGGCTGGGACTCGGCGCTCGTGCAGATGGCGCGCCGCACGCCCTCCTTCCCGCGGTCGGTGCTGTCGAACTACCCTCCGGAGGGGTCGCCCGCCTCCGCGGCAGCCTGGCCCAGGCCCACCGACGCCGAGGAGAGGGTCGAGCGGCCGGCGGGCGGGCTCTGCTCCTATTCGTACGAGAACGTCCTCCCCGCCGGACGGCTGAGCGCACGGCTCGGCGGCTGCCACGCCGCCGCCGCCGGGCGCGCCAAGCCGTCGCCCGATGGAGCGGGCGCCGCCTCGCCCCGACGGACCGCCTTTGTCGCGGCCGGCTTCCTCTTCTCCCACGCCTCCTTCCTGCGGCTCGCGCCCTACGACCCGTACCTGCCCTGGATCTTCATGGGCGAGGAGCTGGCGCACACCTTCCGGCTCTGGACGGCAGGCTTCGACATCTACTCGCCCAACCTGGACGTGCTGCGCCACGCCTACCGCCGCGAGAACACGCACAAGTTTTGGGAGAATGTCGACCGCGCCTTTGCCACCGGCGGCATCCACAACGCGCTGGTCAACCTGACCGTGCAGCGCATCCAGCACCTGCTCGGCTGGCCCGAGGCGGCGCAGCCGTCTCAGGTGGCCGAGGCGTGGCTGCTCCACCGCAAGGACCAGTTTGGCGCCGGGGCGGTGCGCTCGCGGGACGCCTTTGACGCGATGCACGGCATCCGACACAATAGCACGCCGCGGCGGCAGGAGCCGCCGGGCTGGTGCTGCTTTTAGTGAAAGAAAGAAAGAATTTAAACAAGAAAGAAAGAAAACAGAGAACGCCAGATTTTGACCGCGCAAGATAAAAGGGTGGCTAAGGGCTCTGCCCGCAAGAGGCGCCCGCGTCGCAGACGCGGTAACATTGACAAATCTGCGATATACCCCCACACGAGCAAATAGCCAAAATCCGAATACCGTGCACGAACTGCGTGATGTCGGACCCAAGCCTTCAGCTGGTGCCAAGACATTCGTAAAATTGAAGCCAAGAACGGCCGCCAAATCCGTGCTTTCGCGCTACCTGAGGGGAAAGCCGCTGATCGAGCCCAGCGTGCCCGCGGCCGCCTCCCGCGCAGCACCGCCGCTGCGGAATCGGATCGATCCCATGGAGGAGGGCGCAGTCGGCTAGCGCAGCAGGCGGAGTCCCTCCCCGCGCCGGAGCCCCCCTGCAGTCGAGGGAGTCCTCGTTGGCGATGAAGGTGGCGACATCGAATCGCGGCCGACACACGTCACGGGAGGAATGGGCGATGAGCGGGAACGATGCGCGCTACGACGCCGACTCCGCCGTGCTCGTGGCCGCAGAAAGCCGCGCTCCAGGAGCACGCCAAGATGCAATGGCTCGCTTGCTTCGATTCAGCTCTCTCGGCAGCAGAAGTGGGGCTGGAGCGGGTGGGGGTGGATGCCGATTGAGGGGGAGCGTCTCCAGCTGCGCCCTGTGGCAGCTGCGCCCTGTGGCATAGTCGAGGGACTTGGTAGTTGTGACCCCCCTGAGTGAGGACAGGAGAGATTTTGTGGTGTTTGTTGGTGTACGCAATAACGGGACAGGGTGGTTGTTCTCTCTATCTCCTCTTCTAGCTCTTAGCATGAGCTGCGCCCGGTGTCCGACCCCTTATGCGCAGCAACACCTTAAACTTTTAGGCCCTCCAAATTCGGTCGGGTCGGAGCGTAGCGGAGTACTTGGAGCACTTGCGGAGTGGGCCCCGAGTTTGAAAAGGGCGACGGACGCTTGCGTCCTAGCCTCCAACAACGCCTCCCCGGCGCAGAGGGGCCCCCGGAGGGATGCACAACCGCTCCACGCCACGCCGCTTTCGGCGGTCCTCTTCCCAACTCCGAGTGCCGCTGCGTTATTCACTTTTGCAAGCCTCGCCTTCGGCACCTTCCCGCCATGGCGGAACGCGACGAGTCGGCAGCCAGCCGCTCGGAGCGGCTGGCGGCCGCGCAGCGTGCGGCGGCCGCGCAGCGTGCGGCGGCGCCAAACCTGCAGACCCGGCACCGCACCTCTGGCGAGAGCTCGACCTACGCCCGCGACTTCTTCGGAGCGTCTCGCCTCCACTTCATCGGGTCGTGGAAGGAGCGGTTCAAGGCGATCTGCGCCGGGATGCCGCCGGCGCCCCCGCTGCCGACGCCGAGGCCAGGCGAGCAGCGCGCCGTGATGCACATCGACATGGACTGCTTCTTCGCCTCAGTCGCTGTGGCGCACTTCCCCGCCTTTGCCGGCCTGCCGCTGGCGGTGAGCTGGGGCAACCCCTCCGTCGAGAGCGGACACGGTGAAATCGCGAGCTGCAGCTACGAGGCGCGCGCGCGAGGCGTCCGGAACGGAATGTGGCTGAAGGACGCGCTGCCGCTCTGCTCCGACGGGGCGGGCGGGCCGTCCGAGCTGGTGGTGGTGCCGTACCAGTTCGACGAGTACGCGGCGGCGGCCGAGGCCATGTACCGCCGCGTCTTTGCGCTGACGCCGCACGTGATTGGCGTCTCTTGCGACGAGTGCTACGCCGACGTGACTGGCTGCGGAGATCCGCTCGCCCTGGCGACGGAGCTGCGCGCGCAGATCCGGGCGGCGACGCGGTGCAACGCCTCGATCGGCATCGGCCCGAGCCGGCTCGTCGCCCGGATCGCCACCTCCGCCTGCAAGCCGGACGGGCAGAGCGCGCTCAGCGAGGAGGGGGCGCGCCGCCTGCTCGCGCCGCAGCCGGTGACGGCTCTGCCTGGGATCGGGCGCTCGAACGCGGCGGCGCTGTCCGCGGCGGGCATCGCGACGTGCGGCGAGCTCGCGGCGGCGCCCGCCGGCGCCGTCCGCGCCGCCGTCGGGGCCGTCAACGGCGACAAGCTCCGCGCGTTTGCCGCCGCGAGGGACGGGCGCGCTTGGGAGGAGCCAGCCAAGGTCCGCTCGTCGATCGGCGCGCAGTCGAGCTGGGGCGTGCGGTTTCGCGCCCGCTCGTGCCCGGTCTCGGCGTGCGAGGAGGGGTGCGGCTGCGCGCACGCCTTCGTCCGCCAGCTCGCCGAGGAGGTGGCGAGGCGGCTCGGCCAGGCGGGGATGCGCTGCCGCGGCGTCGGCCTCAAGGTTTGGAGGGCGAAGGAGGGGGAGGACGTCCTAACCCTGACCCTAACCCTAACCCTAACCCTAACCCTAACCCTAACCCTAACCCTAGGTTTGGAGGGCGAAGGAGGGCTGGACCTCCGCCACCGCGAAGGGAGGAATGGGGCACGGCGCGTGCGACAACCTCTCGCGCAGCGTGGCGCTCGAGCGGCCCACCGCCTCCGAGGCCGACCTCGCCGTCATCGGCCTCAAGCTGCTGCAGGGCCTCGCCATCCCGCATGAGGCGCTGCGCGGCGTCGGGCTGCAGGCGCACACGCACAAGCACGCACGCACAAGCACGCACGCACAAGCGCGCACGCACAAGCACGCACGCGCCAGCACACACGCGCAAGCACGCGCACGCACGCACGCACGCACGCACCCGCCTGCCCGCACCCGCTCCGCGCCGCCCGCCGCCTCCTCACGCCCGCACACGCCTCCCCCCCCTTCTTTAGGCCACCAGGCTCGAGCAAGGGGCTGGCTCGGCCGCCTCCCTCTCCACGCCGTGGGGCGACCGCGCCGCACCGCTCCCGAGGGCCGGGAGGGGCGGTGGAGGAGAAGGAGGAGGCGGCCGCGGTGTGGGCAGGGACGGCGGCGGTGGCGGCGGTGGCGGCGGCGGTGGTGTGGGCAGTGGCGGCTGCTGCGGCGGCGGAGGCGGAGGCTCCGAGGCGGGCCCGTCCGATGCGGCCCTGTCCCTGGATCGGTCGGAGGGGTGCTTCCTCAAGAGGAGGCGGAGGAGTTGCGGAGAGGTGGCGAGCTCGCCGGCCGCGCCGCCCGGCAGCGCGGCGCTCGAGGAGTACTACGACGCCGTGCTCGAGTCGCTCCGCTCCTGCTTCCTCGAGGTTGCCTTCCGCGCGCGCGCCGAGCAGGGCGCCGAGGCCCTCTCCGGCTTGCCCGGCCTCCTCTCGGACGGCGCCGAGGCGCTGCTGCGGGCGGGCGGCGCCGGGGCGGAGGCGGAGGCGCGGGCGAGGTCTCTCGTGGACGAGGCCAAGTCGCTCGGCTCGCGCTGGGCCGAGACGCGCCGCGCCGGCCTCTGGCTCGAGCACTGGCTGCAGGCGTGCGACGACGTGGATCGAGGCGTGGAGCCGATGGCGCAGCGCCTGCGGACGTGCGGTAGCTTTCGGGCGTGACGGTCGTGGCGTACCTATACGTGTATATATCGGTGTACCGCCCAAGAAAACAGGGAAATACGTATGCACACTACAATGTAACTGAGCCGTAGCTAAATCCTATAAAAAAATTGCTTCGTAGAGAAGAAAAAAACGGGCACGCAACTCTCTCCCCCCTCCAAGCCTCCATTCTCTCCCCCTAGGCCTAGCGCGCCCTTGAGCCTTGTGGCGCGGGCCCCCCCTCACTCATCCCCCAGCCCCTGTATCGCGCACTAGCTGTGGCTACCGTAGGCCACACTTGCGTCGCCGGCGGTTCCCGCCTGCCCTAGCCCCCTAGATGTGGGAAGCTGGCCGCTGATCCGAAGACCGACTGCGCCAGGGCTTGCCGAATGCGCGGGGCGAATGAGTGATGAAGTTTTAGTGCCTTGGTGTCCGTTCTCCATGTACCATGTCTGGCTTCCCCTGATCTCTCGCACTCCCAGGGTACTCCCGCGGTTTTTTCTTCGCATCAGCGTCGGAACGACACAGCTCGCATGGCGGGGAATCCCGCCGCCCCCCGCGCCACCCAGCGCCTACCAGCGCTCGCTCGCAGCGCGCCCGACCCGCCGGAAGGCGCGGTCGGCGCGCGCATCAAAAAGTTTGCACGTACGTCCCTCCGCGGCGTGCAACATAGGCCTACAGCGCCAAAGGCTGGCGCCAATGGCGCCGGCCTGCGGCTGCGGCCCAGTGCGGCCGGCGCGCTGCGACGACCGGCGGCGCCGCCTGCGCGCAGCCACGGGCGGCCGCACAGCCGCGCGCGGAGCGCAGCCAGGCGCCGCAACACCTCCACAACATCTGCAGCGCCCTTTTGCCTGCTGCTGGCAATGCTGGCAGCTCGAGGCGGACGAGCCGAGGCACACGCGCGCGCGGCACCTTCGTGGCCGCGCGACTTGCACGACCATCGCGCGCATGCGCTGCCCGCAGCCGACGAGCGGCGAGCCTCTGCTGCCTGCCAGCAGCTGCTGCCTGCCTGCCTGCCCGCCTGCATGCCTGCCTGCCTGCCTGCCGGCCTGCCGGCCTTCGCACTTCACACATCCCCTGGCCCGCGAGCACGCTGGCCAAGGGCCGCGGGCGGACGGGCAGGGAGACGCCCCTCGGGCACCCGAATCGCCCTTCGGGCCACCAATCCATTGCTCGTCTCTCCTTCCATAATATCATTTAATATCATCGGCCGAAAGGCTCGCCCATATGATGCTCCCCGCAAGACTAACCACCCACTCTTCCGCAGACAGGCCTCCACAGATGGGCGGCCCCCCCGCGCAGCTCTAAGCGAGATGCGCGCCCATACCTTCCCAGCACCGAATCCACTGCTCGACTCACCTCCCTGTGCAGACTTGCCAGACTACTGCTACGGCGGCAGGCCCGAGGAGAGCCCTGCCCTCCCCCCGCTTGCCACGCCTCTCGCTCTCAGGCGGACCCCCGATGAGGCCCTCGCCGAGCGGTGCGCCCATACCCACACAGCACCGAATCCACTATTCGCTCCACCTCCCTCTGCAAGACAGCCAGAGACACTACTCCTCGACTTAGAGAGATACCTCGCGCGCCCCCCTCACCCACATGGGACGACTGGCCTAGCCCTGTCACCTGCCGCCCCACGGTCGGTCGACATAACCGGCTACAAGTACCATACCTCCCCCAGACCGAATCCATTCCAGCAGCGACAGCCCAACTATGGTAGAGAGGAGAGGGAAGCAGGGCTCGAGCTGTGCGTGACGGGATGTTATTATGGTGATAGAAGCACAAGTCACGCGAAAGCTCAGAGACGGACACGACCAGACATCGAGACGCGAGGGGACACCCGAGACAGTGAGCGTGAGCTAGCTAGCGAATTACCTAGAACCGAAAAAACAGCAGCACACTTACAAGAAGACGAGGGGCCCGACCGCCCCTCACCACCTCACCAAGACTATGGTTAAGTTAATCACGTACAATTTTAACGGTTCTAGGAAAAAGCTAGCAGGCATTTTAAGTGCAGCAACTCGAGACCACGTAGACGCGATATTCGGACAAGAGATGCATTACTACGACGTCGGACACTTCGACCTCGTAAAATCTGCCAGGACGCTGGGATGGGACGCGTATCACAACCCGGCCACCAAAGATGACCCCATGGGGGGCACCGCCATTTTCATCAGGATCAACTCTCAAACCATAACGAGGACGAAAGACCCGCCAGTGGAAGGATGCGGCTCGCGGTATATCTCCGTACCAGTGCAAATAGAGGGCTACCAAGCGAAGCTGCAGAATTTCTACTTTTACTCAAAAAACGCACCACGACAACAGATGATAGAAGAGATATCCACAAACGGGTACCTGAATAGAGGAGGAATCATAGCAGGGGACTTCAACATGCTCGATGACCCCCTCATCGACTGTGAGAAGGGGGAATACACAGCCAACGCAGGGTTCAAAGCTTGGAGGGCAGAAGCATCCAAAAAAGGCCTCACGGACGCTTATAGGAAGTTTCACGGCTACGAGGCTAAGAGCGGATTTACTCGGAGACACGGAACAAACTACACAAGAATCGACAGATTCTATATACGAAGACACTTTTCCCTTTTTCACATAGTCAGAATAGAGCCAGACCCCAACCTCTTCGTTGGAAGCGCCAAATCCGATCACCACCCCGTCGTGCTAGAGATCGAGACACCGTCCTCCACGACACCACCAAAGGGAGAAATCAAAATAGACGAGACCCTCTTCAACGACCCAACGATACACAAAGAAATCCAAGAAATATGGAAGAAGGCCTATACGGGCAAGAAAGACGAGACCGAGGCAGCCAAATTCACAGAAGCTATCGAGCAAACAACAGCCCATCTCCACCAGGAAACCAGGAGGAAGCGACACACACCAGACGCAGCCGAACTGATCAAGAGAGGGATCGCACGAATGGAAGAAGCTTACAAAGACCAATCATCCCCGGCGATCACCCGAAGGATGGCCAAACTACACGAAAGATACGCGGAAGCCTTAGCGAAAAGAAAAGCCAACGCCGAGTCCGAGAGACGCAAGGCCGAGCTCAAACAACGTCCCACGAAGAGCTTCTTTCGAAAGCTCCAGCCGGGGCACGCGTCGAGAACCATCTCCTCCCTACACCGCACACCCGACTGGGACAAGCCAGATGAGAAAAACGGGGTCACGACGGACCCAGACGAGATATGCGACGAACTAGCGAGGTACTACCAATGGCTGTTCGGACCAAAACAAACCATAAAACAAAAACGAGACATCTTACTGACAAAACTGGAGGAAGGACAGCGCTTCTCGGACGCTGACGCCACAGACATGGGCAAACCTTTCAACAAACACGAGGTCCGCGACGCGATCAATCTCATGAAAGAGGGGAAATCACCAGGCCCCGACCGACTCTCACCAACTTTCTACAAGATGTTCCAGAGAATTCTCATACCCCACCTAGTCGACCTCTTCAACGAGGCCGCGAAGACCGGACACCTCCCCGAGTGCCTCACACAAGGAGACATCATATGCCTCTATAAAAAGGGCGATCCGAGAGAAATTAGAAACTACAGGCCACTCACCATGCTCCAAGTGGGCTACAAGGTCTATGCCCGCATACTAGTCAACAGGCTCAAGACTAGGATCACCAAGGTGATCTCCCCAGCCCAGCTGGGATTCGTCCCGGGTAGAATAATCAACGAGGCCTCTCACCTCCTGAAACTCATCCAAGCGTACACAGACGAGATGGACCAAGAAGGAATCATTTTAGCGCTCGACTGGGAAAAAGCCTTCGACAGAGTCAGCTGGGAATACATGCACGAGGCGATGCACGCCCTAAACATGGGCGAAGAAGCCATCGCCAAGATGGGCCTACTATCAAACACAAAATTCCCCCCCACAAGACGAGTCAAGGCGAATGGTAAAAAGAGTAACCCCTTTGACATCAGATCCGGAGTCCCACAAGGATGCCCCTTCTCTCCCCTAGCATTCCTCCTCGTAGCCGAGGCACTGACAAGGATGCTCGAAGAGGGAGTCGATATAGACGGCCAACACGTACGACCAGAAGGCATCCAGATTACCGACCCAGATGATAGATCTCTCTTAGTTGAGTTAGTAGCGTCTCTCTTCGCAGATGACACCCAGGCACTACTCAAAGACTACGCCCAAATTGACAAACTGTGGATAATACTGCAGATTTATGAGGAAGCCACAGGGATGAGAGCTAACCCCAACAAGTTCGAAGGGATACGACTGGGACCACTGAAGCACCAACCGCCGCCGACACTAAACGGGAGGAGCAGACTCATCAAATGGCTAGAGAGAGGGAGCTACACAAAAATACTAGGAATACCATACTACCTCGAAGAGACCCAAGAAGAGTCCAATAAATTCTGGGAAGAACTCTACACCAAAATCAAGGTCTCAATGGCGAGCCTAAGAGGACTCAAAGACATGAAGATCACAGGAAGAGCGCTAGTCGCCAATTTTAAAATCTTCTCTCGTCCCAGATACTGGGCGTTCACGATGGACCCACCCGAGTGGTTCAACGAACAGCTCATCACGGACGTAAACCACCTTATGTGGGACAAGCACCCCGCCCTGGACCCCGAAGAGGAAGGGTCGTACGAGGACCTAGACAGAGCCCCGTGGATTAAGAACCCACACGCCCCGAGGAGACTAGAGTGGAGCGCTGGCGGGGGCACCCCCCCCAAACACGAGCTCATAGGCCTAGGAGTCGCCCTTTGCGACTGGGAACAACACGTCAAGGCCATACGAATAAAAGCACTTCTCAGGTACCTAGACGCAAGCAGAGGCCAGTATAAGACCCTCCTCGACTTGTGGCTCGCCAGAGCCGAGATAGGACGATCCTCAGTACTAACCTCATGCAAGGCCTACGACCTCACCAGATGCCTCGACCCGGGGGCGCAACGAAGGGATGCCCCCTCCAAGCTGCCGTCATTCTGGATCAAGGCCATAAATGATATAAGAGAGCTCCAACTAAAATATTTAGGATCAGACAA